TCCCAGGACTCTGGGATCACGACCTGAGCCGAAGGCAGAGGCTTTAACCCACTGAGCCACCCAGGCGCCCCAAATTTGTTCACATTTTGACCAACAAAAAAAATCTCAATAAATTCCCCAAGATAAAGGTAATAAAGACCACATTTTCTGAATGCTAGAAGTTAAACCCCGTGTGGTCAGCAACCTTCCCATTTCTGTTCACCTGCGCACCTCAGCACCTAACACACCCTTTACCTACAACGTGGTAATCCAGAGTATTGGTGCATAAGAAAGAAAGGAAAGGTGACCCACAATAGAACTTAAAATCAAGATGAAAAATATCCTCCCCAAGGATCATCCCTTAGAAATTTCAATAACATGCTTAAGAATAATTCTCATGGGGGCGCCTGGGTGGCTTAGTCCATTAAGTGCCTGCCTTCTGTTCAGTCATGATCCCAGGATGCTGGGATCCAGCCCCACTTTGGCGGGCTCTCTGCACAGCCAAGAGCCTGCTTCTCCCACTCCACACCCCGCCCCCACGCTTTCTCTCACTATCTCTGTCTCTCTCAAATAAATAAATAAAATCTTTTTTTAAAAAAAAAGACAGCCCACTGTGCCAACGTTATTTATTAACCCAAGAACTACTACTTTGTTTAAAAAATATACAAATGGCTTACTGTAAACTTGGCAGATTTGACTATGTGTTTCACTGAAGGAAATGGAAATGGCAGAAAATATATGAGAAAAATGCTACATGCCATTTTCATTTAAAAATATGATCACGGGGCGCCTGGGTGGCTCAGTCGTTAAGTGTCTGCCTTCAGCTCAGGTCATGATCCCACGGTCCTGGGATCGAGCCCCGCATCAGGCTCCTTGCTTGGCAGGGAAGCCAGCTTCCCTCTCTCCCACTCCCCCTGCTTATGTTCCCTCTCTCACTGTGTCTCTCTCTGTCAAATATATAAATAAATCTTTAAATAAATAAATCTTTAATGAACAAATCTTTAAATAAATTTAAATCTTTAAAAATAAATAAATAAATAAATAAATATGTGATCAGGGCGCCTGGGTGGCTCAATAAGTTGAGTGTCCGACTTTTGATTACGGCTTAGGTCATGATCTCTGGGTCACGAGACTGAGCCCCACATGGGGCTTTGCTCTGGGTGAGGAACCTGCTTAGGATTCTCTCTCTCCCTCTGCTCCTCTACCCCGCCATTCTCTCTCTCTCTAAAATAGATAAATATTTAAGAAAAAAATCATGAGATACTGTTTTTCACCTTTCATATTGGAAAATATTTTGAAGTGTGATCACTGTAGTGATGGTGAAGCTATCGAAAGAGGGCAACTCTTGAAGGTTCTTGGTGAAATTGTAAACTGACACAGTCTTTCTGGAGGCAATATGGGGTGCCCTTTGAACTAACAAGTCTTCATTCTCAATATCTGTCATGAAGAAATTCTCACACAAGTACACAAGTGTATGTATGCAAGAGTTTTTATGGGGGCGTGGTTTTTTTTTAAGATTTTATTCATTTATTTGACAGAGAAAGAGAGAGCACAAGCAGGGAGAGCTGCAGAGGGAGAAGAAGAAGTAGGCTCCCCACTGAGCAGGGACTCCAAAGTAGGTCTCAATCTCAGAACCCTGGGATCATGACCCCAGCTGAAGGCAGACGCTTAACTGACTGAGCCACCTGGGAGCCCCAGTATGTATGTGCCCCAGTATGCAAAAGTTTTAGTTGCACTACTTTACTGGCAAAAAAAAAATTGAGAATCACCTACGGGGCACCTGGACGGCTGTTGGTTAAGCATCCAACTCTTGGTTTCAGCTCAGGTCATGATCTCCGGGCTGTGGGATTGAGCCCCGCCTCAGGCTCTGCACTCAGTAGGCAGTCCACTTCTTCCCTCTCCCTCTGCCCCTTCCCCTGCTCCTACTCGGGCTCTATCTCTCTAAATTAAACAAATTAATCTTTTAAAAATATTTAGAATCACCGAACTGCGTGTGATAGAGTATGGTGGACCCTAATGCTAGAATACCATGCCCCATGGGTGAAAAATGAGCCACGTTTATAATACGAAATGATGTTCACTGCTGTATGTATTAAGTGTAAAATACATATTGACTTTATACATATTCATTCTGAGGCCATTTTTGTAAGAATAAAATCTCCAAACCCCTATATAATTAACAATTTTACCTCCTTGCTGTTTTTTTTTCTTTATTTTTAAAAGATTTTATTTATTTATTTGACACAGAGAGAGAGATCACAAGTAAGCAGAGAGGCAGGGGGGGTAGAGGAAGCAGGCTCCCTGCTGAGCAGAGAGCCTGATGTGGGGCTCGGTTCCAGGACCCTGAGACCATGACCTGAGCCGAAGGCAGAGATTTAACCCTCTGAGCCACCCCGGTGCCCCTTCTTTATTTTTTAAAAGATTTTATTTATTTGAGAGAGAGAAAAAGAGAGTGAGAGGGGAAGGGAGAAACAGGCTCCCCACTGAGCTGGGGCTCCAACCAAGACCCTAGGATTACAACCTGAGCCAAAGGCAGATGCTTAGATGCTGAACCACCCAGAGCGGCCCAGGTTTTTTTCCTTGAAATAAACCTTTGATTAATTGAAGACAAAATTACAAAGTGAACTCACCTGTGGTACCACCACCCAGGTCAAGAAGTAGAGCCATTATCTAGGAGTCTGGGGTGCAATGAGAGAAAGGTCTAATCTAGACCCAGATGTGCAAGTCAGCATATGAAAGTAATTGAATAATTGTCAAAATTGGATCAGGATCTCCAAGGAAAAGGTCTAAAGTGAAAAATTCAGAGTGCTGAGGACTTGGGGTACATTAAGATTGAAGGGATTGCGGGGCGCCTGGGTGGCTCAGTGGGTTAAAGTCTCTGCCTTCAGCTCAGGTCATGATCCTGGGTTCCTGGGATAGAGCCCCACATCTGCTCTCTGGTCAGCAGGGAGCCTGCTTCCCCCCCACCTCTGTCTGCCTCTCTGCCTACTTGTGATCTCTGTCTGTCAAGTAAATAAATAAAATCCTTGAAAAAAAAAAAAAGATTGAAGGGATGGAGAGAATACAGCGGTCGGCAGAGGAGGCTGGAGAAGGATGCCAGAAGTGAGAACACAGGGGAAGTTGTCCAGCCCCTGAGGCAATCTGATCTGATCATGTCTGGCACAGGTGTGCCATGCCTGCCTGCCTGGTGGGATTCCTTATAGAGGGACTTTGTAGCCTGTGACCCTGTCACTCGGGCCACAACTGACTGAACCAGAAATCCAAGCCCCAGGCCCTATAGGAGTGATATTGGTCAATGAGTGCCTCACCCAGTGACCTTCCTCTCTTCTTTAGATCACACCCACATACACACCAAGGGGTACAGAGTAATAAATCGTCGCAGAAACAGAAACACAGAAAGAAGGCAGTGGCGAGAGTGATTGGGAAGAAACCCTGAGGTGGAGAGAAGGGCAGCCAAAAAGTGGGCAACAGGTCACTGCACAGGGAAGCGTGGCAAAGCAGACTCTGTCAAGGGAAGAGGCAGAGAAAAGTCTGTCTTGTCTCCCTGGGGGAAACCAGACGCAGTGCGCTGGAAACCTCCTCCCTGGAAGCCTGGGCCCGTGTCCTCGCCCTGCCTCTCCTCGCCCTCGACCACAGCCATGGATAACCCCAGAGTGACCCCTCGGGCTGTCTGGTCAGGGGTGGAGTTCTGGCGGCCCCCGGCAAAGAGTCTGAGTCACACTCTCGTCACATCCTTTCGCTTCCCCAAGCGGTTCGGACGCGAAAGGCCTTTCTGATTGGCCGCCTCCAGGGGCCAGTGTCCCGCAGCGGCTGGCCGGCTGGGGGTCCGGAGCGCATAAGTACTTCCCGCTGGGGAGGGCGGTCCCAGACGTCTGGAGCTGCAGCTGCCGGGAGCCGCGGGGGGTAAGTGCTCCAGCCTTCGGGAACCGACGGGCTCCCCCGTGGCGCCCGGCCCACAGCCCACGCTTGCCTGTAACTTCCTTTTACCCAGTTTCATCAGACATTTGCGGGCAGGGGACACCAGGTAGGAGAAGTGCAGCGATGGGGCAGGGAAGAGGGGCAGGCTGGGCTCCCGTGGGGAATGCCAGGTCCTTCCCCCCCGTCCTCAGAATGTCCCTGCCTTCTTGTTGAAGGTTCCTAGTGCTGCCGGCCTGTCTTCTGTGCCTCGCCCCATGCACCTCTGCCTCGGCCACAGCCGGTCCCCGCAGCAGATCCCGCGATCCGGCCAAGCCCAGCTGCGGCCCCTGCGGCCCTCGCGCTCCTGCCTGGCACGACCTCCTAACCCCCAGGGCCCCAAGAAGCAGGTGGTGTTTGCAGACACCAAGGGGCTCTCGCTGACATCTGTGCACATGTTTGAGGACGCTGTGGGCAGAGACTCCGAGGAGGGCTCGTGTCACCCGTCCAACTTGCCGCGCCTCCCACCACCGCCATCCCCCTGCGCCCCCTGCCTCCCCGCACCTGGGCGGGACTCGGGGTTTCCGGGGACGCCCGCAGATCCGGAGAGGGTGCCCCGAGCTGAGCGCGGGGCAAGAGGGCTCCCTGCGAGGCACCCTGCGGGCGCGCACTCTGGCTTTTCAGAAGGCCATGCAGGTGCGCACCGCCTTTGATGCCCACGCCTCGTTCCAAGAAGCGCCGCGTTCACACCTCCCGTCCTTGCAAAGGCGAGACTGACAGCTTCGGCTTACAGATGTTGGGGCCACCTAGAGTCCCGCGCCCTGGGGACGCCATCCGGCTCTGCTCCTCTTTAGGGTGTGCTCAGCAGCTTTGCGTGGTGCGCAGCTCACAGTCCCGCTCCTCAGACTGAAACTGAACTGTCTTGAGGGCCCACCCGCTGCGCCCTGTGCAATGACTTTTTCTGCACAGGCAGAGCTTGATTTTCTTGCCCAGGTGGTGCGTGTTTCCTCTCTCTCCAGGAGCTTCACCCAGACTGTTTGTACCCGCGAATTCACACTAGGGTGGGGGGGGGGTCGGCTTGGAGGCAACTCCAGCCGCGCCCCTCTTCTCGGGCCCTTACCCTTGAATGCCTCGCGCTCTTCTTTCTAGGGGGACAGGCTCACTTCCCGACCGAATGGATGAGATTTCCTTCCGGAAGATGCTCGGAAGGGCACCCTTTACCCTTCGCAGGGAAGGAAGCCTTGGGAATGTGGAACAGAAAGACCGTAAATAAAGTTTTTACATGTAATTCTGTAAAAGGCCTGGCAGAGAGGGTCTCCCAGGGCGGGTGGGTGAGTGGGAGAGGTCGGGAGGAGTTCCTTACCTCGAAGATAAAGATGCAGCACAGAAATGTGCTCTTTTACCTTCCTCTCTATCCTGAAAGGGCTAGTTTTCTGGTAACTCAAAATCGTCTTGCCTCTTCAATGTGTGCCAATAAATAAATCACAAATAAATAAATTAAAGCATCTTCAGGAGTTCATCTTGTATCGTCTACCAACACCAGACCCAGTAAGAGTCTGGGAAAACTCTACCTTAAAATAAATGTACTTTACAAACAAGCATTTTTAACCGCTTAGAACATTCTTTGAAGTGTAATTTACCTAGACCCAGAAGCCAGACCTTGGTTCCTAGTTCCCTGTCCCTCCCCCACACACTTTCCCTCTTGTATTTATCCCCCATAAATACAATTATCTTGTATTAAACTGACTGAAACTGCTTATTGAACTGTTTGCTCCCCTAAGGCCCTGGGAAGCCTGGGACAGTCCCCACCATGTACATTGCTGGCCCACAGGCTGGCCACACCTGGGACACTCAAGACATTTGGGTTCAAATCATGCAGGAGTATTCAATATATAATATTCTGAGACCCTTGGTCTTTGGAAGAGTTTAACCTCTTTTCAGAGGTTGTTCATTCTCTCAGATTCTCGTTCATTAGATGACAAATTTTTAACATTAAGTGTTTTGTTTTGTTTTTTGAAATCTTTATCTCCTCCGATCCTTGACTTCTTGGGCTACATTTGTTGAGCAAGCAACATTTGCTTTATTTATTTATTTATTTTTGTCCCTTAGAGGGCCTACCCCTGGGTCACTCGCTCTGTGGTAAGACACTCAGGTGGTTAACAGGGCAAAGATAGGAGTCTACCATGCAAGCTTCCAGCTGCAGCTTCCTCATCTGATAAGGGATCCTACAGTACCTCCACTGTTTCCTCCCCATCCCCCACCTGGAGCTTCTAGTCTTGACTCCTTTTTTTTTTTTTTTAAGATTTTATTTATTTATTTGACATCGAGAGAGATCACAAGTAGGCAGAGGCAGGCAGAGAGAGAGAGAGAGAGAGAGCGACTCAGGCTCCCCGCTGAGCAGAGAGTCCCATGTGGGGCTCGATCCCAGGACCCTGAGATCAGGACCTGAGCAGAAGGCAGAGGCTTAACCCACTGAGCCATCCAGGCGTCCCTCTAGTCTTGACTCCTTAAGAGATGATCGAGAATAGGGTGGGCAGTCCCCACAGGGTATGCTGTTAGGATTGGGAGTCAGTCTCCGAAATTAAAGCTGGTAAGAATCAACAGAAAAAATGAGCAGTCAGTTGTAAAGTGACTTACCCCTAGGATATGTTGTGATACAGTTCTCATGAGACTAGGGTCTTCTGCAATCTCCCTGATGAGCTTTTCAGAAAACAAAGTTGAGGTCAGGGCCCACCACTGGAGATGGGAAGTCTTGGAAGACCATGTAGGACAGGTCTCACAGTTTAGGGGGGGTTGAGGAATCTAGACTTAAGATATTATCTCCAGCGAGTGCTCCTACAACCACAGAGAGAGCTAACAGGATTGAAAAGAGATGCTGCTCCTTAGTCAGCTTTGAATTCCACATGTTTCAATGCCAGATCACAAAGTATATCATTGAATTAATATTTGATATTTTTATAAAGACTTAGTTTATAAATAGCATAACAGTGTTTGTAAATTTTGGAAAGACACACATAAACTGTATGCCGCAGTTGTAATCCTCTAATTCTTTTTTCTCTTTTATAGTGATAATCTCGGAAAAACAAAAGTGGCCCAGGACTCTTGACCTCTCAAAAGTCAGACTAAGACAAGCTGGCTTAATTTATAACGACCTTTCCTATGCAGGTAATTTTTCCATTCTGTGACCCCTTTTACTGTCTTTCCCCCACACGCCCTGTATTGTCTACCAAATTTCATGCATTAGGTACTAGTTCATTCATGACTTTATTAAATACATGCATACTTTGTCAAGTTTCTGGTAGTCATCATGTAGTTTTAAGTCATTCAACAAATATTTTCTGAGCAACCATGATGTGCCAGACATCATGTTAACTGTTGGGGCTAGAAAGAGGAATAAAACAAAATTCACAGTCTGGTGAAAGGAGCCATACATATAGATGATAAAAATAATGTGAGAGACACATGGAAAGGAGAAAAAAAGGGGGGGGGGAAGAAGAAGAAAAACAATAGAGAATGAATGAGCACTTAAGAAGAAATCAGAGAAAATGTCTTATTGGAGTTGACCCCCTCCCCCCCCCCCGAAGTGAGTGCCTAAAAGATGAGTAGGTGTTTGCCAAAATTACATTTCAATTAGTTTAAGTAGACTTACTTATATATGTGATTTCCACAAGACTTGAATTGTTGTTACACTAATTAGAAACTTCCCTTTTCTTCCCCTGAGGATCCCAGAAAGGCAGCCATTGTGTTAATGGGGGTGATAATGGCAGGCAGGAGTGAATTTTGGAAAATAGAGAGCTGGGCAAAGAGGAGGGGATGGCCGTATTCATCCAAGAGGACATTCTGCTCAGCCAGATGTTTTTGGTTGTTTGGCAGGTAGAACCCCACACAAGCACAACTCCTGGGGTGTATCAAATTGCCAGATTCTTTAGAGTTAAATATTTCCTTTCCTTTCCTTCTCTTTCTTTCTTTCTTTCCTTTTTTTCTAATTTTATCATCAACGTATTGATATTGATTTGGCTTCCCAAGGAGACATTGCCATAAGGGTATGAACTGACTAACGGATTCTAGTATTCCAGTTAATTTTGCATTTTCAATTATCCACCTAATTTAATTTTTCAAAAGCCCCCTTTATCAGTGTCTCCTGCAGATTTGATTACTACAAATCAGTCCCCAGAAACAGAGAATCATCTTGCTGTGAATTGACAAATTTGGATCTGTGAATTTTCAAGTTGAGGACCACCGTGTGGATGCAGTCAGAAAACCTGCCTTCTTCAGTTTGCTCTCAACCACGTCTCTGCTTCTTAAGTCAGAGTGTGCTTGTATTGATCTGACCCAACACGTGTATCGGCCATATTCTGATGACTCTCAGATTTAAATCACTGGAGCTCTCCTCCCAACTTCAGACTCCTACATCAAAGAAGAGCATCACAAATGGTGGTTCCCCCAAAATTAAATACAGAATTACAACATGATCTGGCAATCCCACTTTGGGGAATAGATCCAAAAGAATTGAAGGCAGCAGCTCAGATATTTGCATATTCATGTTTGCAGCAGCATTATTCATAACAACCGACAGGTGGAAACAACTCCGATGCACATCGGGGGATGAGTGGGTAAAGTAAACATGGGTACACTTACAGCACAACATTATTCAGCCTTCAGGAGGAAGGAAATGCTGACGCCTTACCACATGGATGAACCTGGAAGGCATTAGGCTAAGTGAAATATACCAGCCCTGAAGAGACAAATATTCTATGATTTCACTAGATGAAAGAGGTATGAGTAATTAAACTCCAAAACAGAAGTAGAATGGTGGTTGCCTAGGGCTAGGGGAGAGGGAATGGGTAGTTTTTGTTTAATGGGTACAAGTTTTTGTTTTTCAAGATGAAAACTTGTAAAGATTGATCACATAATAATGTAAATATACTTAACACTACTGAACGGTACACTTAGAAATGGTTAAGATGGTAAATTTTATGTATATTTTGCCACAATTAAAAAAATTTTTATCAAGAACATGGCTTGGGATGCCTAGGTGGCTGTCAGTTAAGTATCTGCCTTCAGCTTGGGTCATGATCCCAGGGTCCTGGTATAGAGCCCCATCTAGAGCTCCCTGCTCAGTGGGGGTGTCTGCTTCTTCCTCTCCCTCTGTCCCTACCCCTGCTTGTACTCTCTGCCAAATAAATAAATAAAATCCTTAAAAAATAAAAATAAAATTAAAAGAATACACCTTTGCTTAATTTGTCTTTTTCTCTTGGTACTTAGAAATGAACATTGGTCTTGATAGTTGTTCAATAAATAGTTGTGGTTCACCTCTTAATGTCAAAGACTTTACACATGAAGAGATATCTGTGGAAGACAGGGAAGTTATGCAGCACACTTATGGGATTATTCTACTGGGGGAGGGAGTATCTTTTAAAAGGAGTATCTTCCCAGGTTCATAGCACCATTTGCCATACGCACAGCAAAAACAATGATTACAGGAAGCACATTTTGGGATATTAGCTCAAAGTGGGGGTTTGTCAACACTGTGATCCCCTTTTTACATTTATTTATTTATTTTAAAAGATTTATTTCTTTGAGAGAGAGTGTGTGCATGCACAGGGTTTGGTGGGGGAGGGGCAGAGGGAGAGAGAGAATCTCAAGCAGACTCCTGCTGATTGCAGTGCTCAGGCGGGGCTCCATCTCATGACCCGGAGATTATAACCTGAGCTCAGATCAAGAGCCAGACCCTTGACCGAATAAGCCAGCCAGGTGCCCCAAGATCCCCCTTTCTTAATCACTATCCTTCATCAGGTTTTTAAGATTACTCCCACAGTTTTTGTATTAAAAGAGCATTTTCATTCTAAAATGTGGGAATACCTCAACAACAATCTAAAGACAGTCCAAATTCAGAGTGACAAGGAATTTCACATTGAAGGTAAGACTAGTTGTGCTATATATAGGCAGTGGGCTATATAAACGTACTTTGTGTCTAACTTTTTAAGCATTACTTACTCATCTTCTCTCTCCTGTTTGTATTTCTCTGCCTAGAAGTGGATATGACACCGATGTGCCCAGATCATTGACCTTTGCAAACAAAATTCTGGAGCCAGAGGGAACCATTCTGGCTCCCTCTTCAAAAGGAAGTTCCATTGCCTTCCTGCACTAAAGAAGTTTAGAGAATGCATCAAGGAGTGTGCGTGTGTGTGTGTGTGTGTGTGTGTGTGTGTGTTTATACCCAACAACTGAGTCTACTATTTGGCTGGGCAAAGAATCAATTAGTGTCATTTGTGTTGAGTCTCTAAAATGTGTGAAACACTTTTTAATTTCAAAATTATCGTCCCGAAAGAATGGTAATATATGGTGAGAATTGTAAGAAAATGTAAACACGGGGAGCCTGGGTGGCTCAGGGGGTTAAGTCTCTGCCTTCGGCTCAGGTCATGATCTCTGGGTCCTGGGATCAAGCCCCACATCCAGCTCTCTGCTCAGCGGGAAGCCTGCCTCCTGCCCCCTCTCTGCCGACTTGAGATCTCTGTATGTCAAACAAATAAATAAATCTTAAAAAAGAAAAGAAAATGTAAACACGAATACACAAAAGCAGAGCAGCAGGAAAGGAGACCAGATATCCAAATCCAAAAAGCATTTAAGATGGTGGTGACCACTTCAAAACTCTAGCCCTAGCACTGAGTAGGACATAAAAATGTACGATGTCCACTTTCCTTTATGGAATTTAATCTAGTTGAAGATTTCCCATGGCCATGCATTATTCAACTTTGTATTGTCATTGGGACAATGGCAAAAACTGGCCACATGGGAAGGACTCCGTGAAGATTTGTTAAATGAATAGATAAATGATTGAGCTTAAAATATGGGGTAAGTCCCAAGCAGGTGTGGTGATGAGTAGGGATGAGTGGCCCAGTGCTCTGGAACAGAGCCATCATTCTTTTTTCTTTTTAAGATTTCATTTATGACACACAGAGAGGGATCATAAGTAGGCAGAGAAGCAGGCAGAGAGACAGGGAAGCAGGCTCCCTGCCCAGCAGAGAGCCCGATGTGGGGCTGGATCCCAGGCCCCTGAAATCAGGACCTGAGTTGAAGGCAGAAGCTTAACCCACTGAGCCACCCAGGCGCCCCCAGAGCCATCATTCTTATAGTTAGATTTTGAGGCCTAAGAATGTGGACCTTACCCTGAAGATTTATTATCAAGTTATTTAGCATGGAATGGCAATCTGACACTAGCACGCAGAATAAACTGGGGGTTGGGTGGGAAGGCTTGGTATTGGAGGTAAAAATGTCTTTTGAGAACAAGGGGAAGGGCTGATTTTTTTCCTAAGGAGAATCCATTTGAGGGAAGATGATAAACTTGGGTTCATGGGTTAGGCATTTGAAGTCTGAAGTGCTGGTGAGAAATACACAGGCAAACTCCGGCAGACACCAGCTGGACTTTAGCAGAGATCCCTTCCGAGTTGAGGTGGACATTGGAAAGTTCCAGCTGGGAGGGAACACGGAGGTACACAAACCCCTAGCACTCCCTGGCTTCATTAGCAAGACCAATGAGACTCGGGGATGGTGACGGTGGTGTCAGCGACGGTGATGTGATGGCAGCTAATGTTTCTTGAACGTGCCAGGCCTTGAGCTAGGTTCTTTACGTGCAGAACTGTATCTCACTGCGTACTCACAACTGCCCCAAGATGACAAGATAATTTAGGGACTCAAGCCTTTCTCGCTGATCCGGACTGATCTCACCCTCTCTAGAACCTACACGAGTGTACGCTGGAGGAAGTAACCAGTATTCGGGCCCGGGCACAGCTCAGAAACGTGGAGACCCCTCTTTAGGGAGCGCCCCCCTTATCAGAGCGGGAATCCCCGGGAACGCGCGCCACGGTGAGGGGCAGGGGCCCAGTGCCCTGGAAGCACAGTATCAGCCTCTGCGGCGCCCCGCCTACCCGAGGTAACGGCTCCTCGCCCGCCAGGGGGCGCCTCGGTCCGTCCTAGGCGCGTCCGACCGTGGGCAGGTGACGCAGCGCCCCGCCCCTCGGGGAGGAGGGGGGGGGGGTCCCCGCCCGGCGCGCGCCCGGCGCCGGGTGAAAGATTAAACGGCGGGAGGGGTGGGGATGGGACGCGAGGGGTCACGTCAAAGCGGCGTAGACAAAGGGCGGGCGCGCGCACGTCTTTACGCACGCCTCGGCCGGCGGCGGCGGCCAAGGGCGGGAGGGATTGTCCGCGGAGGGATTGGGAGATTCGAAGCCTCACGGCCGGTGAGTATGATCGGGTTCCCGCCGGCCTGAAGGTCACTGGCCCCAGGGAAGCCGACTGCGGGCCGGGGGGTTCGGGGCCAGGCACCCCGCGAGCGGCCTGCGGGCTGGGAACCCCCTCCCTACGCCGCTCCGGCGTCAGGAGACACCATCTCCGCTTCCCGGGGTTTCCCGGCCTGTCGGAGCGGTCCGCCCCTCGGCCGCAGTGGAACCGTCCGCGCCCCTCCCCGGCGAGCGTTAGCCGCTCCGCGCTCCGGTCCCGCTGCAGCGGCCGGAGCCCCGCGCCCCGCACTCCCGGAGGCCGGTGCCGGGCGGCTCCTGCCACTCCCTGCTCCGTCTGGCCCCGCGCCGGACGGGCCCCGCGCTTCTCTCGCATCCCGGGTGCTCCGCCGCCCGTCGTCCCCGAGCGTGGAGGCGGGGAGCTTCGGACGGCCGAGGGAGCACCGGAGATCACGAGGAGGTGCTTCACCTGTAATTAATTTCTGTCCTTCGGCTTCCCTGGGATGTAGATGGGCCTCGCTGCTTCTCCAGAGGAACCCATTTTTCTTTCTTGAATTTAACCCCGAAATCCTTCGCCTTCCCGTTTCGATACCGCGCCCTGCAAGGCGTCCTTCCAGAGGGTCTTGTTGATGTTCTCCCTTCTGGTTCATGTAGGGTTTTAACTTTCGCAGTTTCGAAGTTAGGGAAAATAGACTCCGCGGAACACATGGTATCGCTCTAGAAATAAGCTCCATACTGCACCGCTCCTGCCGGCAGGGCCACGGATCTTCCCAGCGATAACCTCCTTGAGAGCATTTCCTTTTTGGTTCATTTTCCTTAATTTTGACTGAACTCTGCGTGCCTCTGCTCAGTTTCATCTCCTGTAGACACTGTCTCAACCCAAGGGAAATGGTGGGAAAGCGGTTATCTCTGTGCCAGAGACTGTAGAAAGGAGTCCTGTCATAAATGCCAGTCTGGTATTCTCTTCTCACTTGATAGTGGGTTTTTTTTTCCCCCCCTTTCTGCCAACTGTGTATTATGGAGACTTTCAGATATACAAAAAGAGATAAAATAGTAAGCCAGCATGTAGCCAGCATCCAGCCTCAACGACTGATTTTCAGGTTAAGCCTGTCCCATCCATTTCCCCCTCTCCTAAGCTCTGGGATAAATCCTTCATGTCAACAGTTGCTTGAGATTCAAAATAAAAATCGTACTGTTCTATAAAGTCATAACGTACTTTTTTGGGACACGAATTTCTTTAAGAAATACGTAATAGCATTGGAGAAGGGCCAGAAGAGAGCACCTAAAATGATCAAGGTGCTGGAGGACAGGTTGAAAGAAAAAGTCTATCAGATGTGAATGAGAACTTGCAGGTCATCTTTCTTTTTCACTTTTGATGCACCCTCAGGGTCCTAATGGTTCGGTGACTTGTCCAGATCAACTAGGAGTAAGAGTCCAACTGAGGCTGGAAACCTTTCCCAACTCCACATTCAGTCTTCTTTCTCCTAATACTGCGTTTATGTTGTTTCTTTCAGGAAAGGGAAATGTGTGGAAGGGTTATAACAATGAAAGGTTTGGATGGGTTAATAGGAACTTTTCCATCAATTTCTGGAATAATGAAACTAGGGGAGATGTCTTAAAATATTTCTTATGTCAGATATGGGACAAATGAGAAATTCTAATCACAGTTTTAGTAAACATGGGAAAAGTGTGACCTTAGACGGGGAATACCAGCTGAGAATAATTACAAACTTTAAAAGATGTTGATAACATTCACAGCTATTTCAGAAGGAGCAGCTAAGGGAAACGAATGATTTGGCATATACTCCTGGTTTTGCTCTTGATAGCAGAACAATAGAACCTTTCTATGAAACATACTTTCTTGACATTAAAAGATAAAAATCCTCAGCTAGATGTAACATGGATTAGGTGTTTGCTTTCTTTTCTTTTTCTTTTTTTTGTTTTCGTTTTTAACAAAACTATAGTATGTATTTCTTAGCACACTTTGTGTTGTGAAGTTTCCTTATCTCAGGAAAGATGGGTAAATTCAGTACTTGTACCTCAGTCTTCACCCTTAAAATTGGAGAGGATATTTTACCTCCAAGGAATACTGTGAGCAAAGGAATCTCTGTATATAGAGTTCATTGAGTTTGCTTTTAAGTTGCGTTTATATGATGTGACATAGTGTTTATAAATTATTTTCAAGATTTACTTTTGTTAGCTTGTGATTTAAATACAGTGGTCGTCACATGCATTCAGCTTATGAAACTAAGTGCTGAGAGAACAGCGTCGGGGTGTCTTGGTAAATCATTACCCTAAAGATATGGATGCAGGGAGAACTTTTATGTTTTTGTGTGGGTTTTGTGGGGTTTTTGTTTTTATTTGTTTTTTTTAGAGAGGGAGGGTAGGGAGAGGGAAGAGGGAGGGGGAGGGAAAGAATCTTAAGCAGGCTCCACACAAAGTGCAGAGCCTTACAGTCAGGACCCTGAGATCATGACCTGAGCCAAAAATCAAGAGTCAGCACTTAACCGACTAAGTCACCCGGGTGCCCCTAGTGTGGGTTTGTGTGTGTGTTTGTGGTATCAGAAAGAGTGCAGTGGTTAGCTAGGATTCTAGCCTTGTAATTAGTTTCTGCTGAAGAATAAACCACTTTTCATACTGTATGAACATCACAAAATGTTACCTTTTATTAAAAATCTTTCTGGAGATAGAAGCCAGAGATTGTCTGATCCTGATTGAACTGTACTACAAAATTGTTTCTTCAAGTAAAGTAGAACCTCATTATGGCTTGGCATTTACTTCTTTCTTTCTTTCTTTCTTTCTTTTTTTAAGCTTTTATTTATTTATTTTAGAGAGAGATAGGAAGCATGATCAGGGAGAAGGGCAAAGGGAGAGGGGGAGAGAGAATCATAAGCAGACTCCGTACCAAATGTGGAGCCCGACATGGGGCTCGATCCCAGCACCCTGAGATCATGACCTGAGCCTAAATCAAGAGTCAGTCACTTAACTGACTGAGCTACCCAGGTGCCCCCATTTACTTCTTTCTATATCATTGTGCTCAAGGGAGGACTTGATCAAATATCATCAATTCCATGTATCACTAAACTACAGAATACTTAGGATAGCTTGAAGAACGCTTTTTTAAAAAAGCACTGAATTTTAGAATTTGTAGGAATGTTCTAAAGCTTGCAGTTTTTCCTAACTCCTTTAAGGGTACTCTCTCTCCTTTAAAATATGCATACCCATGCACCTGCCACCCAGTCACGGCCTTGTCTTGTTTCTTTGGGCACTCTTTGAGTGTGCATTGCACCTCCTTTTAAACTATAAGCCCAAGATCTGCAATATTAGAATGATACTTTGTAAAAAGGAGGAACATAATAAGTTTTTGTTGACCTTTTGAATTAAAATTCCAAAAAAACTCGTGAGGAAATTGAAACCCAGGGAAGCTGAATGACGTACAGACCAGGTAGTAACAAATTTGTGCTTGAGCTCTTAGCTGAGGAGACTCCTGAGTTCCAATTCTAAGCTCCTCTATGGGACCATTTTCTTGACACAGCAGAGGAATGGGGAGGGAAAAAATATTTATGTTTATGTTATTTATGCACATATTTTATTTTCAGGGTCTTCTTTAAACGTTTCAGATCTGGGGCGCCTGGGTGGCTTAGTTGGTTAAGCATCCGACTCTTGATCTCAGGATCCTGAGTTTGAACCCTGCATTGGTCTCTGCTCTGGGTGTGGAGCCTATTTAAATAAAAATAAATAGGGACGCCTGGGTGGCTCCATCTTTAAGCAGCTGCCTTCAGCTCAGGTCATGATCCCAGGGTCCTGGAATCGGAGCCCTGCATTGGGCTCTCTGCTCAGTGGGAAGCTTGCTTCTCCCTGTCCCGCTCCCCCTGCTTGTGTTCCCTCTCTCGCTGTGTCTCTCTGTCAAATAAATAAAATATTTAAAAATAAATAAATAAAAAATAAACATATTTGATTAGTGTTAACTAATAGAAATAGAGAACACATCGTATATATAATTTTACATTTTGTAATAGCTACTTTTTAAAAAAAATTTCTTTTCCTGAAAGATTTTATTTATTTGTCAGAGAGAGAGAGAGAGCACACGCAAGTGCTCGCATGGGCACAAGCAGAGGGAGTGGCAGGCAGAGAAAGAAGCCGGTTCCTTGCTGAGCAAGGAGCCTGATGGTGGGACTGGATCCCAGAATGGTGGGACCATGACCTGAGCTGAAGGCAGACGCTTAACCAGCTGAGCCACCCAGGCATCCCATGTAAGAGCCACTTTTAAAAAAGTGCAAAGAAACATGAAAATAATTTTAATCATGTATTTTATTTAACCCAAATTATCCAGAATGTCACTTAAACATGTAATCAAGATACAGATTATTAATGAGGTCTTTTACATTTAGTTTTTCATAGAACATTTAAATACAGTGTGTATCTTATTTACATTTACAACATATTTCAATTTGGACTACCCACATTTCAGGTGCTCAAGAGTTATATGTGATCAGTGGCTGCTGTGTTGGACAACACAGAATCACTGTCAGCTGAGCATAAAGATAAAGGAGGATTTTAGGTTCTTAGTAATACTCAATTCTGAGGTTAAAATAGTTTGTGGTTGTGATCATTGGTTTTTTTGTTTAATGTCTTAGTGATTTTTCGCTGCATAATTAGGATTGTTTCAAGTTTGTAGCAAGTTGAATAGAGAAGTCTGATGGTCCACAAATTTTGTACCTTTGTGATGAAATGCTTTCTTGTCCTTTTTTTTTTTTTTTTTTTTTTTTGGTCTGTGGGATCAATCTTCTCTCTCTCTCTCTCTCTTTTTAACCATCTTGACTATTTTAAAGTGTATAGGCCAGGAATAATGCTCTCTCATTTTAAAATAACACTATTTAGTTGGGGGTGGGTTGGGGAGCTTGATTTTTAAAAAACAGCCAGTGGCAAAACTAATAAAATAACCTAATAAAAAATGGGTAAAGATTTGAACGCTTGAATGATGGTACAACCCTTTAGAAAGC